CAACACCCAAAAATTATGAAGATATATCACTAGGTACAAGTTTTGTTCAGTCTACAACAGAATTTCTGTGTTCCATAAACTAGAAGCTCCTGAGAAAACAACTGTATAACAAGCATTGCAGCTTACTGCGATTGCAATTTACGATGATGTAAAGGTATTTGAACAGTAAATGGTTACGATATGATGTGACAATAACAACAGCGCCGGAAAACGCACGGCACGCGAGCTTGCTGCGTTTTTGCCGCCATTACTTGACGTGCGATGCGAATCCAATTCTATGATCTATGGTCCCCCTTCCGCATGCTACAATGACACCTGTCATTTTAAAAGATCATCCGCCAACGCTCCGAAATTGATCTCAACAGTATGTAGACCCGTTATATAACAGCATGCGGTAGTATACTTGCTTGTACATGGAAATCAGTAAAACCGCATACTTTATAACGCGGGTAGTTGAAACGGTCAGCGTCGAATTCCGTGTAAAACATTCTAAAATGAGGAAGGCACAATTCTTATTAAAAATTTAAAAATGTTATTCTTCGTCATATTATTCTAAACATGGTCAAGTTTTACTGCCAAGCAAGAGGTTTTCGAAATTGGTGTATAAAGTATAGTTTTTATTAAAAAAACCTTGGCCCTTATTTTGCAACTACTGCGACTCCTGTGAATTACGATCGACAGACGAGACGTCGATGTATTAAGTATCTCTTGAATCTCGTACAAAAATTTAATGTAAGCTGTCATTTCAGAAGTCTTCAGTTTTAACTTTCTTCCCTTTTTTAGTGTGAAAGTAATGGGTATAACAATTTTATTGAGGTTTAGGTTTATTGACATTAACCTAACTAATTAACTAGGAAAAATACGTCTTACCTATTTAATCGGACCCTAACATACGAATATCAATTCTAGATGCAGATACTGCAAATTTAACGGCTTGGCAATATTTTCATCATTTGGTTAGACGTGGCAAAAGGTTGAGGGAAAGGTAGGTGGTACTTACAAAGTGTCATTCAACTGTAAAAAAACAAAAAAATCTAACAGACCGCTTTTTCGGTAAAATTGCTTAAGCCTACCTAATTATTTCTAATTATCACGGTGCCATTCTGATTATTATTTTGCGTTCAAAAGCTTAAATTCTTGTTCCTTTTGCATTTTGTTTAGTACAGAGAGCAATAAACTGTGTCTATATAAGTAAATGTTGTTGGTACCAACAATTTGGTACACCTTTAATCAGGATGAAACGAAGGTTAGCTTAAATATGAGTGCAAACCTACCAGCAATCATCCAGAATTGTATCTATTTATTTTTTATAATTATTTATATGTAAGAAAGGAAATATTACACACTTACGTTACCTTGTAAATACCTATCGACCTGATTGAATAAAATTTACAATTTCACCATGGCCTGCCAACTTAAATAACTATGTTTATCTACCGGAAGATGGTCCAGTTTTGACCAGAAGTACCCAACAATTTTCTGCTTTAATGCTTCTAAGTTTAAACAAACTGTCAAACTGTGCTCACTTCCGCTTCATCAGAACCTTCAAGACAATGAGAATCTCCACTAACCGCTCAAGCTGTTTGGATAACGGGCCGTTCACACGGCCATCCACCACGGATGACCGCATCTCATTTTGACCGGACTAATCGTAATTTCAGACTAGTATGAAATAGGACAAAAAGCAGAGGCCGGAACAAGCGGGCAACTAGTACAGCGAAAATTTGAATAATGACGATCTAGCGGAATGTTTTGTTCGTTTAACGCTACGGTGGCTGCGTCTACGCAGACCACGTCACTCGCTCAAGGGATTTGTAACAGTTGCGTAGCTTCGAACATCAAATTATATGTCTGTCTCGTTGTGTGATTTAGATCACCGGAATAAGACGCGTAATGACTCTTGTTTGTTTTATTTGGCATTATATCTTTATGAGTGCGCGCCTCTATCTTGCTAGGAAGGTGTATTGTTCGCTTCAGTTTCAGGTGTAATTACCTGACAGTGTCTATTTACTTGATAGTTGGCTCGCTATCAAAAGCCGTTTGAAGGTAAGAAGGCAATATCGTTTGCTGTCTGTATGAGGTATCGAGGAACCTCCCCGCTAATTGTGGTGAATGTGGAGCATGCGGGACATAATGCTACACCGCGACAGAGCCGCCCAGCGATTGCTGCGCCAGCGCACGGTGGTTAATGTAATGCCTGTGGCAGGCCGCTCTGCGTGCACATTTCGCCATTCAAGCTTTAAGTAGGTACCTAGACTGCACGCACTATATATGTTGTTATTTATCATTGGGTTGTAGGTGACATAAAAAACTAGTCAAGTGCAGTCGAAAATTGGTCAAGTGCATGTTTCGTAATTATCTAGGTATTTATAACTAAGTAATAAATATGACATTGCGCATAGAGCTAATCAAACAGAGAATGTGCTTACATAAATTAAGTAAATAACTGAAAGATTTTTTATAGGTAAGTATATATTCTTTGAGTTTCCTTCATGTGTATACAATGCCACCGAATATGTATGTATTTAAGGCATCGCAATAATAGAAAAATCTGTATAAAAATAGTTCTTGCATGAGTCTGTAGTATGAGTTTGTATTACGCTTGATTAAGTACTACCATTTTTCTCAGGTCAATTTAAGAGGTAGCCAGGTAGGGCAAGTAAATAAACATTGCATTTTAATTTCCTCCTTTGGCGACGCATCTGTGAAAATATAACGGTCTACTGACACGTTTACGGTACCTATAGAGAGAGAAACACAAAATGAGACGAGGTCACAATGATACGCTAATAAAATCTGTAAAATAACGATGTAATTACAATATCGGTAAAAGTAATTAGATGCAGCTGTAGACGACTGGTGCCATTGTCTCTTGGGGGGAATGTAGTGTATCCATACAATACAAATAAGGTACCAATACGAGTGGAATATGTGATTGTCACTAATAACAGGGCCGGTAATTACGCCGATGTTCTTACTGTGTAGCGGACATTTCTTGCAAGTATTCTAATGGGGACAATATGCCTAAGGAAATTACAATACGGAGATTTTTATTGTAACGGGTGTTGCGTATCTATGAAGATAATGAAGTCATTATATATTTCTTTTTCTATGAGAAGTAAATTTAAATAGAACTGTTATTGTCTGTACTACTGAAATAAAACATTGTCTTCCAGATGCCTACCGTATATGAAAATTATTTGCTTATAATTTAGATATGAGTACTACACATTACTAGAGAGAACGTGTCACTTTTCACGGCAATTTAAAAATACTACTTACTTATTTAATTGTTTCTTAAAGCAATTTAAAAGGGCCATAAAAGTGGTTTAATTTAAACCAAGTTTTCGTCAGTGGAACGGAGACGTGACTGATATCTCATGCGATAAAATAAATAGTTTGTCTAAGGACTTAAATGATGCCACGTGTTTCTTTAATTAATGCCATCTCATTATAACGGCGGTAGTTGCAACTGACTCATTTCACTTAACTGTTAAGTCGGTTAAACAGATATGAAAGAAATTAACGTGTAGGTAAACAATTTAAAGTAAAACACACATTACATGAAATGTTTTATCCCTATACGTGCGTGACTTTTAACCACATTTTGTTAAATTAACATTTCTTTCGTACGAGATCGTGGTACTACCTACTTCAATGATACCTAATTTGTAGAATAGGTACTGACTTCCGTTCAGATTAAACTGGAAGTTTGAATGTTAATCGTCTTACTACTGCGGTCCTTAATTATTTAGCACATTAATTTTAATATATTTAGGTACATATTACTGGCCTTTGATTACTTGGGTGACGAAGTGGCTTTTTTGTGAGGGGAAAATAGTCAAATGACTTCTCCCGTCCAGGGTGGGAGTGTCAAACTTTTACTGATTTAAAACCCTCTCAATCTCATGTCCTGCTCTAGGCCGAGGCCGCGATGCCTTATTGCGCTTGTCCCGCAGAATTTGCTGGAATTAAATACCTTTGTCTAACTGCTATATGTAACGTGTTCAATTCTTTTATGAAACAGTTTAAAACTTCCAGTAATCACAATAAACACGACTATAAACTACTAGCTATTCCTGCGCGGTTTCACTCGCTCCTCTGCACCATTTAATCGTAACGTGATGTTTTATAGCCTATAGCACTCAGGGATATTGTAGCTTCACTCAGGAATATTGTATATTGTATGTATCAGTGTAGATTACCCCCTACATACAAACTTACAAATTTTGCCTCTTTATATTAGAAGGACGCGGAACGCATTGGGGAACGATCTTGAACCAGCCACCTCAGGAGAAGCTCCAAGCAGCGGGAATCGCACGACGGTGCAAACGCAATAATTTACCGTCCAAAGCTAGATTACATAATTCTATGGTTAAAAAAAAAAACTATTTAGGAAGTTGGTAGGTACCGATGAATTTACACTTGTAAATAGGTTAAAGCTCATCACAGACGGCCCTAATAGGTCGAGGCCCTGCCGGAGTCATGGTAAATTGTCAAAATGTACCTATCGAGGCTCCTATTGATGAGTTGTCTGTTTAAGTTAATTAGAATTTGCCACTTCATCTGTGGTGGACAAATCCTTACAAAAAGCATTGATCAACAATCATTCGTTTGAAAAAATGTCTATTTTTATATTTATAATTATGTGCCTTTACAGAAGAGTAAAAACAACTGTTTTTAGTGTTCAGTATGTGCCTAAATAAAATGTTTAAAAAATCCCTACGGTTTTGTTATATCTGTGGTTAGTTGGTTTCTGAACTGTGCACCTACTTTTACTTTGTCCCGTTCAATTATAATGTTAATAAATATATAAAGTGTTTTCGGAACAGTTTAACTTTAATGATACAATTTTAATGTAATTTAAATGTAAAGCATAAAATTGTTCTACTGATACACAATACAAAATTCAGTACCGTCTTGTATGGTGTATTTATTTTTTTTGCTCTGGTAACATTATATATCTTGACATTGACAGTTTTGAACGAAATTATCTGTGTCTAAAATCTGTCACATCACAAGGTCAGAACTCCGATAAAAACATGTGGAATGTATAAAAAGATTTAAGTCGCGAGTCTCGTCGATATTATGATGGTGAAGTTCGTGTTAGTTTAGAATTATTCGTGCACATAAAATGTTTATGTGATAACAAGTACTTAACTTATAATTGTTTACTTAGAAATAAATAATACAAAATGATAGAAGGATACGGTGCAGTAACACAGGCCCTTTTAGGGACACTTCTGACGTGGGGATTAACTGCTGTGGGGGCCGGTTGTGTGTTTTTTATAAGAGGAAAACATGTAAGTTATTGACATTACTTACACTTAATTATGTGTTTTTTTAGAAGTGGTGTAGCTTATTGATTTGTTATTATTTTTTTAGAGAAAATTACTTGACGTGTCATTGGGCTTTGCGGCGGGAGTGATGACTGCAGCGTCTTACTGGTCTCTTTTAGAGCCAGCTATAAACATGTGTAAAAGATCACATATTTACGGATCAGAGGGCCAGTATGCCTTCTTACCAGTGGCCTTTGGATTCTTGTTTGGAGCTGTGTTTGTATTTGGAACTGATAAGTTCCTGGATTACTTAGGAATCAACTCTACTGGAATGATGATAAGTAAGTACTCAACATTGTTTACTTTTAACTTTGGATATACCATTGATTATTATTATATATTTAGGTACCCACAATATTTGTTTGCATCTACATACAAATACATAGACATCTAGTAACCTTCAATCAAAGTATTAATTGAGCAAAACATTATTTTCTTTCTTATTAATTACAACTCTACAACACTGATCTTGTTATGTCTGTTCACTAAAGAATCTATATATTTAATCCACAACAATGTAATGTATGTCTTGAATTTCATGGCAAAGTTAATTTATATCAATACTTTTAGTTCCTTTTTATCTCAAATATTTAGTTATTAGTTTATTTATTACTTCATAAAGGGAGTTTGTGTCACTGAAGAAGCTTTTACTAACAATACAATAAACACAAACAATAAGTATTTTTGTTTTAAAGAGGTTTGTTCACAGCTGTGAATGGTTTTAGATATATATTATTTTACAAGTCTTAACTTTTTGTGTTCTTTGTGCATACATTATTTATGTTGATTATGCTAATTAGATAATATCATACAACATTTGTAGGTGACCTTAAGTAATTTTTAAACTGCTTTTATTTAACTGACAACACCTTATTATTATTTCAATACTAGCCGCTTATAATCAAATAAGAAACTAGAACTAAGGAGAACAAGATTTGGCTATGTACATTTTTTATTTATTTACTTTCAAATTATTATTGCTGACTTATTATTATTTGTTATCATTAAAAATGCACAATTCTACTAAATTACCATTAAATAGATTAAATTATTTTTAAATGTACACCATGTGCATTTTAAGTATCAAATAGATAAAAGGAAAAAAGAGACAACTTCTTAACAGTTTATCGAACAAGCACCTATTTACTTATGTATAGGTACATTATTTTGAACAGGTTTTTTTTTGTAATTGTTAATTCATGTATTTTAAATGTCCACATTAACAGTAGTTGCTGGTTGCTACTAGATAAAGAGAGATATGGACTTTGAATTCTTATGTTCAACTATTCCGTCATTGGTGCTCACTAGTCTCATGTCCTATTAATTTAAGATAACAATGAGTCATAAATTGGAGACTTAAACCTTTTTATGTGTTGTATAATGATGTAAGTATTAAAATTACTTTTTTATAGTGGCAACATTTGTGCAATGTTGTGAGAATTTAATTCACTCTATAGGGATTAGTAATAATTTATGCAATCACATTTTTGCCATAAATTTACTTATCTGTATTTTCCAAAGTACCTGTTATCTGAAGGAAAACATTATATTAGATTAGATAGGCAATAACTTGACATTTTTTAGCTCAACCTGACCTTTATTTTCATACAAAAAGTAAGAGAAATAGCCAATGGGAATATTAAAAATAAATGACATTGATATATTCGTATCCAATTCAAGTTGCTTTACAAAACAATAATTAATTATTAAAAAAAGTAAATGCTACTCAAAACTATAAATACTTTTAGTTTTTATAATGATAAAATGAAACTAATTTTAGATCAAAATGCTTTGGTTGATGATCATTATTATAAATTAGGTATGATAGTGGTGGCCATTTTACAATTACCTTAGATTGAGTTGATAACAATGTTAATGGGCCATTATAATTATGGTGCATGTTTCTGGTTCATAAACTATATTTGATTCATACTATAAGTATCTAGGTATGGATGAATTATGATGTCACTTTTAATGTAGTTGCAGTGGCTGGTAACCCTGTTAGTTATTTTTTGTTATTGTTTTGATTATGAACTTGAGATATCTACAAACATATGGTAAACAGAGAAGTTTATACGTAGTTAAACTGGAACTAATTATGTAAATTTGCATGATAAAATTTACTAATGAATCTTTACTTGCTATTATTTCATTTAATCAATTATAATCTACTATATCTATAATCTTTATCTACAATTTGTAAAAAAAATTGCGCGCGCAATTTAAATTTAGAAAACGTCAGAAATACTAACATGTTGGTTTTTCAAACCAAAAAGGACGAAAGTTAGTAGGTAAATGTATGGTATTTTTATTAATGATAATTAACTTAGAAAATCCTATTAGTTACGTTTCATACTTAATATATTGTAAGGCGAGAGATGACACATATTTTTTTAACATTTTATGAAAAACATACTTACCCTGATTCTTACCCTGATTATATCTCTAGCATTGACATAGTAATTATTAATATATAATTTGATCTCCGTGGTTGTGTGCCATATTCCAATGCAGGACATAAATGCGGTGTTATTTATCTTTATGGTACACGCGCTTAGTTCATCGTTGGTGCAGCTCACGCAGCAATTAGGTACTTCAAACGAAGTAAAATATACATTCAAAACTTGATGTAAGATTCTTTAAGCTCAGTTTGTACAAACAAATCGCCTTTGACCTAACAAGTCAAGAGCAAATAAAAATCATCATCGACCTCTATGACGCGCGTAGACTTTCGACTAACATTCCCACCTCTGTACAACAACAAGAAGAATAAAGGATTCAACAAACTCTAGAACACGTTAAACCTGCTTTCGGACGACACTAAATAACCTTCATTTCAAATTTTGGCAACTCATAAGGTTAACAATGCACACAAATTATGTTATCTTTACCTTTGCCCTGATTCGAGTCGGCCAAATTAATTGTTGGCACTTTTTACGAAGCGTGCAAACTATAACTTGTACTTATCTAGACGTAGAATATTAAACTGCCAATATCACAACAATTTGCATGAGTAATGAAGGTGATAACAATTCTGTCAGTCGGTTGACCTTAACAAGCTATGCGTTAATCTTACATATGGGTAACTTAAATCCTTCACCTAAACAAAACATTGTCTGCAGTAAATTATTACGTGATGCGTAATTAAGCACGATTTAAGTTTAATTATTTATAATTATAATTATGTGAGCGGACAATATATTTTAATTCACACTTATATTCTGGCGTCCGTTAATTCCTTAACAATTTGCTTGATTATGTGGTTAAGAGTCGTCATTATCTGTAGTCAGTAACAAACTACTTTATTTTCTATTGGCTTTATATGTTTTTATGACTATAAAAATATGTATTGGTGCATCGGACCTGCTATCGGACGATAAAAAAGTAGTTAATGATGTCCAATCGATATTTTTAGTTCCGAATAAAAATAAAAACTCTATGTCTTCACCGCTACATACCCATAGGTCAGAAAATTAAGAAAAAGAGTATAAGTTATGAAATAGAAACCAGTTTTCATACGATGTCGACACGTGTTCAAAACATCAACCGGTTTTCCCAGTCCAAGTAACGTCCTACAATCCCGAAAATAACGCGTATTAATACGTAAAAAACAGTACATTTTGCTCACTTACGTACCTACCTAATGTCATCTAGATGTGTGTGTAGGTGCTTACTTACATAAACAGTAAAAATCTTTTTTATTTTTGGATTGGACAAGGAAGTTTTGTTGATATTAAATTGCTCTGCCTTTGTATTTTCTTGGTACATTCGTACCAACGTAATAATTATAGACTTGAAACTTTTCCTTTCTGTTAATCCCTTACTTTGTAAAGTTTCTGCAAATTGTTTTCGATGCTCTAATTTTTAATTGTTATTGTTATTTTTATAGTTCTCGTTAAGTTGTCTATTGTATACGAAAGAACAATGAAGAACAATACTTAGATGAAATTACAAATATTTATTTTGCCCTTAAAGACGTCTGGTAGTCTAGCATTTACGACAGTTAGTCATCAAGTGAGCCTTTATAAAAAAAAATAGACAAATTAGTGTTGCTATTTAAAAAACATTTTTACATATAAAAAAATACTCCTTAAAATGATATAATCACGAAAAATTTATACGATGGTGGGTATCATCGACAGCCAACATTATTTTTAAATATTATATTTGAGATGAATGTTGTGTAGGTAATAAAATTTAATAGCTTTTACGGTAATTAATAGCCCAAGACCAAGAAAGCCGTAATTTATTAATTTATGGCCGATGTCCGATATCGTAAACTTCATTGAGTACTGGAGAAATGTATGTGGACAAATGTTGTATTGATAACTTTGTTGATTTGTAGAAGATAAATAATTAGATACAAGAGGACTGACGATTACTTGCTTTCAATATTATACTCAGGGTATTATATTGATCAGTTCAAAGTCATTATAAAAGAACTTTGTTTATTAAAGTTTCTGAATGGTTTCGTCTTTCAGGAATTTAGAGACTATTTTTTATATTATGTACCAACGTAGGCGTTTTTAATTTTTCCTTAAAAGATAGGCGAACTTTTTTTTGATTTCGAAAGAACTGTATATCAGGGCCTTTTTTACTTTAAAGCATTCTATAGAATCGAATTCGTTCTTTTTTTTAATTCCCCGAAACACAAGTAGACACCAGTATAACTGGTGCTTAACATTTTCCTTATTTTATATTAATTCAAAAGAGTACTGTATAAATTATTTTCTTGTTGTTTTTTTAAAGGTTTGTTGCTATCAAGGAAGTATTTAATCAAAGATTACCTTGTTTAAATTGTTGTATCTCTTATCTTTTATTATATTATATTATGGTCTACCTACGTGTACCATTTTCGCTTTAAACTCTCAGACTCTTTATGTGAAGGATTCATAATATGTTATCTATAAGACTGTGCTACTAACTTATATATCTAAACTCAGCTGTAGTTTGTTATCACTATATACAAACAGTGCCATTTATATTAACTAAATAGTATTATATTACAGGAGTTAGTCGTTAATAACAGTCATAATAGTATTGAAACGAACTAACTTTGTAACTTATTATGCACACGAACAAATATAATGCTTTAAGATTCTGATATTTTATTATTGTATAACTACGAGGAACGTGTTGAAAGCCACGATCGCGTGAAGATAAAACACAAAAGCGATAACGAACCTACTTACTCACTTACTTAAAAATTACATGAATCGATTTAATTCAACTAGTCGTTGCCGTTATGTAAATTTTGAATTAAACCTGTTTCGTTGATGTATAAAGTTTTTGCCAACTGTAGAATGCTGATGTCTACTGAAATGTTAATGGTTTAGAAAATATGAAGCCGATTAATGTCTTTACATTGGAATTATTACAGCTGTATGCTAGACTGATGATAAATTAAAGATGTGTGATGGGAATATTGTGAATGATGTAATATACGTACACAAATACAATGACCTTTCATGCATTCATCAAGCTATTAAATCCCTGAAGCTTGACAAGCGAAAGTCAATAAAAGCCCGCATTATCTATCTCGGACGCGAACGCACTTATTTTGTGCTCGCTTGATGGAGGGACGAAAGAAGCCAATGCTCTTTACTCTGTAATGATCTTCACTTAGACCACAATGTTAGCTCAGCTATGTTTACTTGTTAAATAAAGTTTATGATTCGGTAAATTCACTTTTTTATATTGACAATTCAGATTTTATACCAGAATTTTATTTCTCCTGAATTTTGGTACCTAATATTGCTACTTATAATGTAGTGTTTAATGGAGTATTTTTTGAATTACAGCTATAACAAAGAGTAAAGACTCGAAGGAGAAATTAGAAGACTTGGAGATGATGACGGCGCTGAACAGGCGGCCGTCGAACAACACCAGCGTGGTGACCATGGACCCGCAGCAGCCGGGAGACTTCGCCGACTGCATCAGCAACCAGCACACTGCGCAGCGACGCAGGGGCCACCACCACTCTCACCACTCACTGGTAACACATTACTTTGAAAATCATTAAAACCTCGCCTCTTTTATACCTTCAAGTGCACGTGTAGATTGCAACTCAGTGTTCACTACTTATCTGATAAAGCAATACCTTTTTCGGACTCCGTGCTGAATATTTTCGTTACGGAATAATCTAATTATAATGCTCGATTTGAGAGTTGAATCAAATATCTCCATCCTTCTTTTATCTTGAATTGACCTGGAGTACGCCAACTTTTTAACATTTATTTAATGCTGCTGATACTTCAACCTGTTTATGTAAATCTATCTGAATTCTCTAGGTCGCATGTCTGATTGCGTGCGTCCGTACTAAAATCGCGCGACTTAGTGCAAAAACGTGTTTTGTTCACGTCACATAAGCTTAAGACGGACGCCAGACGCATGTATTCGATCAGTCGATCACTTGTTTCTGTTTTCCAAGAAGACTATGACTATGGAAGTGTATGCATTAGGTTAGCCAGAGGAATCTGTTTCAAAATATAAGTACTTATCCACCAAATTTTTAATGCGAACCAATCGGCCGATAATATTGATTTGTAAAAGTCTACTAAGTAATGTATGCATGTTAGTTACCTAATTACATCAAATTGGCTAAACAGAACATAGATAGAGTACCCAGTATCATAGGAACATGACATTTATTTCTTAAATCCTACACAAGTTATCAAACGAATGAATTCATGTCTAATATCGAATAATTAGAATACTGAATCTGTAGGTCATGTCATTTGGAGGTTGGCAAGTACACAACGTTAATTAATACTAGCTTCTCCCCCGACTTCGCCCGCGTGAAATATTGACTTCTGCAGATTTTTGGTTTAAAAACTATCCTATGTCTTTTCTCGAGTTCCAAACTATGTCACACAAATCGGTTCAGTAGTTTAGGTGTGAAGAAAAGACAGACATACAGACAGACAGAGTTACTTTCGCATATATAATATTATTTGGATTTGGATTGGATTGAATTATGAAGTAACACTAATGCAGTAGAAATAACAGCTTAATATTTTCTTTAAGCTTAGGTATCGTGACTGTCGTTCGTGATTTCTATATAGAAAAAGTATTTATAGTTAGCATTTCACCTTGGGTATCAATATTTTGATAAGTTGTCGTATAAATTTTAGCTGTATTGCCCCGTTATTTAAATCTTTTTATATGTGGACGAAATTATTATCATTATTTATTTATATTAATGTCTTGCGTTTAATTGATTGACATTGATCGGTCACTTGTTTATGACGCTGTAATAGTTCCTCAATGAACAAATTATAGTTTTTTTTTATAAATTAATTAGTTTTCCTTAATAATAGACTTACAATATTGTTGCAAACGATGTCATCGATGACTCTGCTTGCAGCCTTGTAAGTGGGTACTTGTAGTTAATTTGAAACTTTTTAATGGTTTTCCCTATTTTTCTCCGTAAGCAGGTAAAATATTCTGTTAAAGACTGGACAATAATTTTCCTTCTTCTGCTTTTCTCTTTGCAGTGTTTTATATCTGTTTAATAAAAATCAATAATACAAAATTGACAAAGTTAATTACAAATAAATTCCTTGAAAATGTATCCAGTCAGATATTTCTCAGCAATAAACTCTTGGCACAATGTGTTGTTGATGGCTTAATTTATCACATAAGTTTACCGAGGTTTTATAAAAAGGTGGGGAATCTGGCCGTTAGTAGAATTCTAATGAGGGACATTATTTACAGGAATTAGGGACAATATTTTTGCTAGCTTAGGACGTCAGACGAATAAGAACTTATCAGTTAGTATAAAAATCCTTCGGATTGCAAGGTCCATTTGACTTAAGTTAAGCTATTAAAATTTTAAATTTGAATCCGCACATAATGATGTATATCCGGATGGTAAAATATGAATAAAACTAGTTTGGCCAATTAATTAGCGCTTGCCAATGATCAATAAATCCGGTAACACATTTTTAATATCTCTCTTGCCCTATACGCTCTTGGAATTTTGAAAATGTTATTATCGTCTAACCGATCTCGTGTTTTTAAATAAATAAAAAAGGCAATCGTTTTATCACCCATAGTTTTGTATTTAATTTTGAATCTCACTATTGACAAACAATAGGTTTTTTATATTGAATGATTTTGTCGTATAGGTTAAAACTTAAAAATGTATTCAATATTAAATATTTTTTTGAGTAAATAGTAGACTTTGTAGTAACAAATTGTCAAGCCAAGTATTAAGGCTAAACTGAGCTTGTAAACTAGTTTGCTTGTCGAGTTAGCGTTTTACGTTTAGTAGGTCGACGTTTACGAAATAAATCGCAGGAAAAATAACTATGCGCTTCCAACCACGCACTAAATAAAATGACTACGTACTACGAACGTAAACTCCGAACTCCAGACTACGCGCTACAACTTTTGACCTACGCGCTACGAAATATACACTACGATCGAACTACGCACTACAAACTACGCGCTACGAACCATGTGCTACGAACGACGCAGTACGTCTGTAATATTTAGGTGCTAATTTTGTTAAAATCAAACTAAAGTTTGGTGAGTGTCCCATGTATATTTAAAATTCTACAAGATTTAGGTTTAGTTCAAATCTGATTACATTTTAACTGTGCGTGCTAACAATACGGTGTTCTTTTTTTTAAATTTTACATATAAGTGTTTTTGGAAGTTTCTTGTACATTTTTATTTCTATGAATTGGGAAATTATGATCTTGTTTATTTACTTTAGGTTTTGGGAAACTTGTTTTCACATAATTATATTTTTATGTTGTCTCCTAATCTTGTCTCATCATCATCCTGGACTACGCATAAATATTTTTTAACAAAAATATTCCGACTTTAAAAAATAAACTAAAAAGCAAAAAATTAATTTTCTTTTTAGAAATTAATACATGTTTTCATTTAGTTAAATAGAAAATAATATTGATAACCATTTTATAATTTTGAATTCGGTGCCAAGCAAAACAAAAATAGTGTAATTTTTACCTATATACCTATTGTTAGTTTCGTTTTCCAAAACCGGCAATAACAAATCAAAGAACTTGGCATAACAAATATTTTATCAAGATATGAGAATGTACTCTAATTATGTTAAGGTTTGCTGTGCAAGCCCACGTTTCGCTTTTTGTTTATAATTGACTGTTTTTAACGAGTACGTAGTTTTATAATTATGTTGATATTCATATATCAGCTTTTTTAACAATTGTGTGAAAATTAAATCTTATATTTAAATATTATTTGGTTAAACGTGATACTAATTGATCATAAAATATACGTGATATTATTGTGTTAATTTGAATTGTCGCATTATTGTTCTCATGTTGATCAAAATATTATTGTTAATTTCAGAAAGCCGGTGAGAACGGCGAAGGTGACCGTCGCGACAGCGTCACGAGGACGCTGGAGGCGCGGCAATCGCAGTGGAAGCGGATTATGCTTCTAGTAGTTGCGATCACCGTACATAATATACCCGAGGGACTCGCTGTCGGCGTGTCGTTCGGCGCCGCCGGTTCGTCCGACGAAGCGTCCTTCCACACAGCCAGGTCAGTACCTAATATATAAATGAAGTCATTCAAAAACGAAACAAAACAAGTATACATTTTAAACACATATTAGAGCCACCAAGCACCCACTCCGCACCGACTCCCTTTCTGGGGCTAATATGATTTATATGGTTTTGTATGCGCTCATTACATCAACTCCGCAGCGTCTCCAGATTGCCTTTGTTTTAATTCCATCACACGCGGACGGCGGGTTAACTACTCGGTGACAACTCGCTGCTCGAATGCTTGTCTTGCGTTGACTGGGGGTCGCGAGTGGACCGCGTGCTGCCCTAGTGCAAATTATTAACAAACTACTTAAAGATTCGTGGACCAAGCGGCGTCCACCCGTTGACCATTCAACATTTACTCCGTGACAGCGCGTGGTAAAGTGGCCTATGTCCTATTCCGAAGTGTATCCTATGCCTTTGCCAAATTATAGTAAGATAACGCGAAGTCCACCCGTGAACTGCCTGTGGACAACGAGTGGAGTGGTGCAATGTAGGCGCAAATAAGAGACGTCTTGATTGGACGATCGTCTTTAATTAAGTGCTCAATAATATAATATCTTATGCTACTTAACGGGGAGAGGTGTCACTCACCACAGCCGTGCGCCTATCTTATTTATTATGTTTAGGTAATATGAATAACTATATGTCTATGGAGAGAAAATGAGTTACGAAATGTGAAAAAAAAACCTTATATTAAAAAAAACTATTTTTCTATAATTATTCTATAACTTGTGGACTATTTATTAAATATTTACAATTCATAGACATTTAAATCCAAATATCTATGAAATGGCTATATTTTTGCAATCAATCGTAAATTTTCTCGAGTAACATTTTCTAGATAGCAAGTGTATTGATTTACACTATTCCTTAGCATTTATGTATGTGTGTGTATGATGTGTTGGTGTGTAAGTGTCCAGTTTATGGACTGACTGGGGGCTTACAGCCTTCAATTGGGACTGGTCAGCTCTAAATTGTCTAAATAAGTAACATTGATATGGCGGTCATGCTGAAAAATATAAAAAAATAAAAACCATAGATGTTTTTGCTCTTTCGCTTGTATAGGTTATCTACAGTTTAGATCGAGCGAATAGCTTTCGGTAGGGGACTGACCAACAGACTGATACATTTTTGTTTGACATTCAAAAATGCCTTATACGAGTGTAACTGAAGTCAATTTGTTGACTTTGACCTTTTTTAAGAATTGTTCTCATACCTGCAGGGTTAAATAATTTAGATATTATGTTGTTTGATGTAAATTTGATACTTCTAAACACCAGTTAAATGTCTATGTATAAAAATATTAAACAAGGCATGGTACCATTATGTTCGCATATACAAGTTTTAAATCGTTTCAACTTAATCGCAAATTCGAAGCCATATTAGTATGATTACCTACAATCTCCTACAAATATAAGAAAAATAACTATTTAGTCCATTGTTTGCTCTTAGCGCCATCTACTTAAGTAAGAACATAACTTCAGCCGTTACACCGGAGTAGGTGATGTTAGTGCTGCCATCTGGCGTGATCGATAGGTACTTTGTAGTTCCACGAGTGCTAGTCTAACAAATGCTTGTAGACCAGTACACTCGCTCCACAAAATATTTGTAGATGGCGTTACTAATACCGAATTTGTATAAAGTTAACATTTGGCGGAGTAACTTTAATCTATATATTAAATAGGTGAATAGTAACAATAATCGCAAACTAAATCCCTTATTGTAAGTATGTAAATAAAATAAGTATTCAGATGTTTTATTTAGGACCTGACCTATATGAAGTATCAGGACGTATTGTTATAAGTACATCATCGTTTCTTAATAATCTATTGTATTGTGTAACTGTTCTTTGGAACGTAATTTCGCATCATGACACTTCAAATTCAGTACTTCTTGGGAATTATGTTTATTTAATGTTTGTATTGTAGGCACAGTTACTTTGCTAGCAAATTTTCTGTAAATACTTAAATAGGATAAGTACCTACGTAAATTTGTTGTCCGCCATTTTGTTACGTCAGAAGAAGGAACGCGAGGCACCGTTGTGGCGGCGGCAGCGCAGGCATTTCATTGATAAGTTGTGGGCGCGAGCGGGATGCAGCTAGCCGTCTACGGCTGCACTATGGCTTGTGCATCGGACCCGCTACTCGGCGTTAACAATAGTCGCTTGCGCCAACCTGACTCTAATTTATATCGATATTTGAACATGCATTATAAGCATGCTGTCCGATGGGTGCTACATTAGTCATATTTGTCACCGAACCGCGTTTAGTTTTTACGAACTATAAATAAACTTATAATTTCGTTTAAGAAAAGGCCGCTAAGAATTGTCTCGTTACGTCTCATCGAATGTTTGGCATGAGTCGTCACACGCCTACTTACCTTTTGGCATGAGGATTGCGATATAGATTAGAGTTCATTTTGCCAATTCATTATGAAACGTTTAGTGCTTTGTTTCGTCTAACGTCGAGACTGCTTTTTGTGAAATATGTTTGAAACAATTTTTACTTTCGTTTTTGTTCACGAGTTAGTTGGCTGATGTCTACATGTAGTTAAATGTTTTGGTTCTGAGCACACGAAAGCAGAAAACAGATGCGTTGAGATGTTACTGTGTGTGGCCTTTCGATGGAGATGCTGGAGTCGCAAAACGACTGTATTGGCAACGTCGTTTGATTAGTAGTTGCGTCGAGTGGAGCCAAATCGCGTGGCCGCGGGGGCATCGACCGGCGCGCCGGCGCAGACGTTGCCGTCACCGCCGCCGAAACCGCCCGATGAAACTATTTCACTGAAAAATCCGGCGGCGCGCGCCGTATCATTGAAGTCAACCTTGGCGATTTGTCGCGTCGTCTATACTGACGCGTGGGTGCCTCCCGAGCATATTCATAACTGTTAAATATTGGCACCTCTCACTAATGTACGCGACGGCGACGCTACCGATCTGTTCGAAAGATTCCAACTATTCTCATTTGTTACAGTTTCCTAGAATGTTTTAGAAATTCATCGTTGTTGTGTCTATAGAGACTCGTGTTGCTAGCTTGCCGAGACGAAGTCTTCATAATCACAATAAAACGTAGTCACAAGTCTATAATCACCGTGTGATTCAATAGATGACTATTTAGTTCGGTATGATGTACGGTTGAATCACAGAGCTAATAGCTACAGCGCCACACGGATCTGCCGACTATGTAATATAGTAATGCAAACTGTACATTACATAAACGCGGATCTGTTACAAAATAAAGCCATTTAACATAACTTTAGCATTTTAAATGATTACATTTAAATAAAAATACGCTCCAGTCAATATTATGACCTAATTAAAGCTCCCCGGTGCAAAAGAATTCGCATTGATATTAAGCTGTAGATTGGCGATAGCGTTTTGTAAGAGCCGGCTCGATGCAGCGGGTGTAGGTTCGATTTAGTTGGACCGGCCGGCCGCTCCGTGTAATGGCAGGTAACGAGGCTACGAGATAGCACTCCACTCGACGTTTCCTTTGTTATCGCCCTCCCGCTTATTACGTTCATAATTGCACCTTCTTTAACGAGCTAACGTTTGTTTAATTATTTTTGTAGCGCACCGAACCCTGCATAAATTTGCAACGTCAATAAACTTTCTTCTCTTTTCCTTAATGAAACTCTGAATGACTTGACTAGCCAGACCTATCTCATTTATTAATGACATCTGTATCAATATTTATGAGTGCTGAAACAAAAATGAAGAATGGGAAATAAAAAGGTAATCTACCCAATTAAGCCAATGGTAGGTGTCAGTATCGTAATTATTATTAACCACCGGAACAAGAGTTCGTGTAAATTAAAACGCTACTCATGGTCCGATTTTTTAAATTACACGTTATCCATCACTTGATATTTTTCATAAATAATCCGTATGAAAAGTCGGAGCGGTCGTTCATTACGATGGCAAGCGATAAGGCGGTGGATTTAACACCGTAGTTGGTGTGGGTAATCACGTATAGGTATTCGGGCGCAGTGTGCCCGGGGGAGCGCGGAGGGGCGGGCGCAGGAGGGGGTGGCGCCCGCGCATAATGGGAGTCGGCAACCGCTTTGTATCCGCCGCTGTTATTATGCAGATTAACACCGCCGGGAATTTGTTCAAATATCGTAACAAGCGCTCTCCTCCCGGCGCCGGCGCCGCTCGCGCTGCCGTAATTTACGATTCAAGCCTCGGGAATGTGTCGGCGTTCGCTCCTTCCATGGCCACGCAGAGCCGTTTTGTCGATTTTATATTACCTCCTCCTTGCCAGAAAACGCCTTAACACGCATCATATCTGATTATGGTTCATTTTTATTTTTACCTTTCGGCGATTGAAATTCTTCTATTAATATACCAAATAAACTGCGTTAGGTCTGAATATAACAATAAGTAGTAACATAATTGTTCTATGTTTTAGATCTCTTTAGGTTTAGGTCCTGTTTTACCGAGCTCAAACAAGATTGTGGATACATAATATGTATCTTTAAAAAAACTGTTTTTATAACCTCTATTTCAGTTTTGTTTAGAAGACTAAACTCTATAACTTAAACCAAAATCGTATGTTCAGAAAACTTCCATATCCAATATCCAGTAAAAAATAACGACCAGCTTACAATGAAAATTATATGTTTATCAGGTACATCAATTAGAAAAAGATTATACCAATGAGGCTCCTCTATTTTGAAGTCGGTTACTAAGAAGACCGTAATTCGAATGTTCAGTCTCAATTATCAGTTACATGGAATTCCTGCTTTCGCATGTCATGAGAGCTTTTCTCTAAGTTTGAAAGGAATCTGAAAGTTGTGATTAAAGTTTACAAAGACCATAAATAATGTTTGGCGCGGCGGGCGGGCGGTGGAAGGGGATGCGGGGGGGATCGGCCGCATTCCTACGGAGCCTCCGACCCACCGCCCTCAGCCGCACGTCCCGGCTTCTGCCGAGTGCCGCTTTCCCTATACACCATTTCTATCTAAGCACACAATATATTTTACCTCTGTATT